TGAAACTTGCGTCACAACAGCAGCTGACAATTGTGAATGGCGACACCATCACACTCCTAAAAGGACATAATCCAAGTTTAGCTCAGGTGTTTTGCCTTATTTTGAGGTAAAGCTTTCTGTGAGCTGTGGACTTGCTCTTTCTCTAAATCAATTCTCGCTGCTGTCCTGGGCTTCCTGGCTTTACAAAACTCCCAAATGGATTTAGCACTAGTTCATTTTATCTCAGCTCTCTACCGGTAAAACCTTGTCTCCTTGTGAGCACACTATACTTTTGGAGAAACTGACTGGGTTTCTCTCCTTGTTGCGGAAATGTCAGCACGTATAAAAGCGAGAGTGGGAGAAGAGTGGCAGCTGGGAACCAAATCCAGTGTGCATCAGGTTGTGCATGTTGTTTGTGTGTTTGTGCGTGCTTCATCATCAGATGGCTCTGTGGTTGGGAGGCAAGCCGGAGGCACAACCTAATCCCCACTCGAAACTCGATTGCTCCACTTTTTCGAACATCCAAATACTATGGAGAAGCTCAAAGAGGGCTGTAGCTTAGAAGGTGCTATGAGTTTATTAAACTTTAAAGAAAAATAAAACATAAAAACAATTCTATAAAGACTTGCTTAGGTAAGAAGCTTGAGTTTGAGAGCACATTGGACGTCTTCTATCATGAATGTATATGGCCCATGCATGCGCTGCCAGTTTGAGGCCAGCACCGGCAGCATGAGGCCGTGAAAAAGATTTGTGCTGGCGAGAATCCAACAGACTTAATCTTAAAAGAGTGATTGGTCTTAAAGTGTAGCTTGGTAACAGTAGGAGGGGAGATGAAGAGGAATATTGTATATGGAGCAGAAGTCTACTACCTCACTGTCAAAACATCTGGTCTGCAGCTTCATCTTGTGGCATAGCGCTGATAAAAGTGAAAACCACAAGTCACACTCGAAATGAACCATTGCTTAATTACATGAGTACAAATAATCACTCAACATGTTTATATATATATATATATATAATAGTTTGAATGAAATACATGTTCTGGGTATTACTCCTCAGAAAAAAATAGAATATTGTTGATCAGGTCAATTATTTCTAATCAAACTTAAAATGTAAAATAACTTTACAATATTTAGAGATCCTTTATTTGTTACAGAACAGTAGGAATGAAGAATATTCCTTCATTCCAGTGAAGTGAATATTAAGTGTAGCACATCTCTCTCTAAAAAAAAAACACACACAATCTCTATCTTTTAATAAAGAAACCAAGTATAAAAAGTATACACATATGAGGATTAAATCTGTAGTTTCTGTGCAAAGAAATATGTGCTTGTCTGTCCATAGATAAATCTGTAACACACTACTGCAACAATGTTGCTCATTACATGCAGAGTGAAATATGCCAAACTTTTGTTTGCTATAATTTTAATGATTATGCCTTACGGTCCATTTTCAAAATATTAAAACTCATGAGATGTTATATTGTGTGTTTTTGCTATAGCTGTGAGCCATAATTATCAACATAACAAATTAAGGCGTGATATATATTACTTTGCCTGTAATGAGTCATAAATTAGAATATTAGTTTCACATTGTAAGTTGAATTCCAGAAGTAATCAGACTTTTGAATAGTATTGTAATTGTAATTGTCAGTGAATAGAGGAAGGTAGACAATACAATATTGTGATTTCTGAAATTTCAGGTTATCGATCTTTGAGCTTTTGGACTTTCATCACATAAATGCAATTTATAGAACACTAATGACACGGAATAGAAAGATGTGTGAGATCATTTGTGATCTGTGTCTTCTGTGTTGTCATTTTCATTCAACATTACAACTGGAGGTGGAGCTCCAGCATCTCTCCTTTGTGCTTTATGAGTGATCAGGTCCGTCTCTGCCGCACAGCCCAGATGGGTGGCTAATTGTAATGAGGCCCCAGAACAGCTAACAATTAGACCTATATGAAGATGGATGTTGACGGGTTTGTGGAGGCCAGGAGAAAGCAAAATGAATGGAAAATCTAGTGGAATAGAAAGAGGTACAATCCTAACACTATGGTTCCTCTCCTGCCTGTTCCCAAGGCATTGTGTAACAGCTGTGAAAGGCAATCTTCAACGGCTATTTTATTCTACTCACTGCTTGATTAGAAGAAATGGCCCAGGCAACAATGGGTGCCAGTGAATTATGCCCATGAGACAGGGGTTTGTGCAGAACAAATGCTATGGTAACTTCAGACTGATTGCGCAGTGATGCTTGTTAAAGGGCCATGTAAATGGTTTGGGTGGTCATATGTCTTCAAGGTTATGGGGCATTAAGGCCATTACATTTTAGGTAGTGGTCATTAATAGTAGATTGAAGGATATAGATAGAAATCACAACTGACAGACTTATCAAGAAATGGAATAAAAAAATTCAAAGGTTCATCCCATGGAAATTCTACTTTTCACCAATACTGAAAGCGGAATTACACAAGAAACTGGAACAAGAGAAATGTCTACAAAGAAGCTCAGTGATGGCACTACACACTTCAATATTGATGTTTGATGCTCCATAACAAATGATCAATACTACAGTAATTTAGATACAATGGCCATTTTTAAGGAACCACAAGGTTTCATTCAAGACTGTGATATATATAATTAATATGTGAGAGGAGCGTGTAATAAATATATACATATACATTACATGCTCCGCTCACAAATCCCCCAAAAAAACGTATCAGAAAATAATTTGAAAACAGTCCGTGAGCCATAATCATAAAACTTACATGGTCACGTATGTAATTAAATTGGTTTTATATATCAAGTTGAATTACAGAAGTAAATTAACCTTCAAACAATATTCTAATATTTCATCTAGTATAAGCATCTAGATAGTTTTTAGTATCAGTTGATATCTGATTTTAGATACTTTTGCCATGTCTCTAGTCTAGTAGACTATAATAGCAGAAAACAATGCAATTTAGGTCAAGGAGCACATTCAACATAAAATCTGTTGAAATACATTTTGATATTACATCAGTACTGTGTTGTCAATATTTAATCTTTCTTTCTAATAAACTTGAATCATGCCTTCAAGATGCCTGCCATATGGACAGACACACCTTCCTTGGGGCCAGCACCTCATCTGTTGAGCGGCTATTTCAGGAAAGAACAACATTAGGATACACATGGCCTCCAGCGTTCCTCCAGCTTTCCTCAACACCACCGCATCTCCCTTTACCACTGCATAGCATACATCTTATTCTCTCTGATCTCTTTTCAAAAAGTCTGTCTAAAACTGAGCCCTCCTCGTCTCCTCGCTACGCAGTCTTCCTCCGCAGTCTGGGTCGTGGGTACTCGGGCGGTGGCTGAAGTGGAGGCCGTTAAACACATTTGCGTTAACCAGAGCGTGTGCCAAGATGGACGACCGTAATCACGCTGGAGGGACGGATTTGTACCCGCAGAAAATACACACAGAGCATCAAATTAGTAACCAGGAACCGAGGCGCTGCGATGAATATGGAGGCATATTGTAAGTAGTGACAGCTGAAACTTAAGTACTTTGGTTTATGTTTGAGAAGTGCTGATATAGACAACAACCTTCTTTACAACACTACTGGGTATTGCACTTATTACAAAGGCCATGAACTCTTTGCAGCTGCATGTGGAGATTCTCAGAGTGCCATGAACACCCATGGCACCACGCAGGAATCATAATTCTCATCTAATTAAAAACTTAAAGCTGGTCTACATCACTTTGAAACCACAGAACAATAACTTATATAACAATATACTTTCTTGCTCCCAAAACAGTTTGATCACAATTTTTTACATACATGTGTGTGTGGCCTCGATTAAATGTTTTCTGATTCAATAAAGACAGCCTGCTGTGGTCTGATTTATTGGGACAAAGAACGTGTATTTATGAAACAAACAAAAAAAGTGCTTCGACAGCAGTGCCCAGATTTTCTTCTTCTAATCTTCTAAACAACTAGAGTTATTTGAAAACAGCTTATGAACAAATAACAAATCCTCAGTGAAAGCTCAGGTCAAAATGGTTATAAAGTTTGTCATTATATTATATAGCTCTAATAAGGATGTGATGTCACCTCTGTGTATATCCTGTGTGCAAACTCATTTACAGCATTAGCTCACAGGGGAGACCAGGAAGAGGAAAAGGCTTCCATGGTTCACACAGAGTGATTTATGGCCACTTTGTGAGCATAAACAGCTAACTTTCAGTGGGCAGACACCATACTTCTTTGAGCCTGACAAGAAAACAACACCAGGTCATTTTAGGTAAAAGTAAACAAAAATAGCATGAATCAAAAGTCACAGTCAATGAGGGAGTGACAAAATGTGCATATTTTGATTAATTGTGATGCTTTATATGCCGTTAGGGTATACTGGGACTATACAAAGTCCGGCCTGCGTGCCAATTACGGCCCTCGTGTTATTTAATATGTCCCTCTGCCTTGCTATCTCAAAGTACCATTGTGATCACAGTGTCTACCAGCCAACTTCAGCTCTTCCAACACAGACATTCTATAACTCATTGTAAAGCAGACTTTGCTGACTTAAGTTTGTGACTGTGCAAAACATTCTGTATATGGCGCTAATGTAGTTTGTACAACTCCAGCTTTGTCAAATGTGAGGAAGACATTGGATCTCTTTTTAAAGCGCAGAACAACCCTAATAAAGTAAAAAAGTTTTACAATCGTCTTGTGAACAAAAGTGGTCAATTACTGAAAGGTTTTGGCGCCACTTGTGTATACTATGAAAACATACTGTATATTGCGAAGAAACAAATGGAGTACATGGGAGGAAAGAAAGAAAGAGTTTTACAATGCTGTTTGGAGTATTCATGAGATAAAAGCACTCTTATACTATACTTCAAACTTCATTACAACTGTTTTGGCTTTGTGCCTGCAGGAGGAGTGTTGTTAGTCCTAAGACCTAAGTCCAGCTGCTCCCCTCAGCGCTGTGGCGAGGAGCACAATTATTGCTCATGGATTGAAGACAAATCAAACATTGCTCACCTGAACCTTCTGTGCCTTTCTCTTGTCTGCTCTCTGGTTTTGGTGGTAGATGCGGCTGAAGTTGGACACGATGACAGGGACCGGTAAGGCAATTACCAGCACCCCACTCAAGGAGCAGATCGAGCCAAAAATCTTCCCTGCGATTGTCTTGGGAACCATGTCTCCATATCTACAACAGAAAAGTCCCACATTAGCCCATTAAATTACAACTGGGTCAAACGTTGATTCAAAAGGTGCATGTGTAACTGGAATGGTGGGCAGCCTGCAACCTGCACTTTTCAATATGGTGCTACTGCTTTGCCTGGAATTTTTCACAATATGTTAATAAACTTATTTCTATCTCCATGGAGACAAGAGGGATGTCTCCTGTTACAGATCAGATTTGCAATAAGTGAACAAACACAAGGTTGGTCCGTTTAATCCCAGAATATGAAACATTCTAGGAAAAAGCAATAACACGAAGACAAGTGAATTTCCTGGAGACAGGTCTCAGTGTTCTCTCAGAAGAGAACAGCAAATGCAAATAAAAAACATAAGAATATATATTGTTCACTTTGTTCTTAAATAGATACAACTTAGAAAGCACACTCTTACGGATCGCATCAACAAAACCAGGTAGAACTGCATAATCATTAACCTTTGGGGAAAACACACGTTGGAAACATTTGGCCAATGCAATTTCATCAAAGACTCAAAACAAAGAAAACACAATTATGTTTTGTCCCCAGAAGACATCACAGAGGGAATTGTGTTAATGGAATAAAGAAACAAAAGAAACAAAATACAAATGGAGAAATCTACCTTAGAATATTTTGCGAATGTTAAATGTTTTCCCACTTCATCACAACCAATTCTGTTTGCTCTTTTCCAAAGTTTGTTTGTACTGGCTAGACCTTTTAACCAAGGCCAGGCGTATTGAATATGATGGGACAAATATCTCATAACCCAATCACATTCATGGACACTTTATTCATTCAAAATCACTGTATATTTCAAAACTGACAAAGAATTCACTTTACTCAGATCCAACAGCAGCTTTAACACATTCTGCTTCTATTTGTGTGGCACACATATCTCTCTGATCAACCTGAGATCGTGTATGCAGCTAGCAAATGGCTCAAGGATTTGTATTCCGATTCACATTGCCCTTATTTGGAACAACACAACATCAATGAAAATGGTCATTCTGACTAAAGTGTACAAATGACTGAATCCATGAGTTCTCCATACTTCAGCTGGAGTTTGCATATTTGTATAAACTGAAGACCAAGGCCAAGAGGCTGAAGGTGACCATGGAGGAATTGAAGACTCTCCAAGAACTTCTAAATGAAAGTTTTATGAGATGGCTCAGGTCAGAGAAATTACACAGAATGCGATTTTGAGTTTAATTCTTTTCCAGGAATGGACTCCCTAGGAAGCTATGTCATGCTTTTAAATCGGGTCCAACATTGTATGAACAAAAATATTAAGATGGCCAGAACAAAGAAAGTTTAATTTTCACATCATATTACAATTTGAAAACAAACATCAGAAGTCCACACACGCACGCACGCACGCACGCACGCACGCACGCACGCACGCACGCACACACGCACACACACACACACACACACACACACACACACACACACACACACACACACACACACACACACACACACACACACACACACACACACACACACACACACACTCACATCCTCACACAGAGTTGGTGTAGTTCCAGTACATATCAGAGCTCTCCAATTTTAAAGGATATAATTTTTAATATATTTGACTTTCTACTCATAGGTGTGTGCAAATAAACAATAGTTAAAACAGTGATATACTGTACCTACACATATTTCAAGGCACGATACATGGAGCCGTGGGCTCCAACCATGTGTCAGTTTGACCGAAGCCTTTGGATGAGGCCTGCGCACAATGGTGTAAATCTTTGACTTTTGCATTTTTTCTACATTCTAAACACTCCCCCACAATGTTAATATATACAGAAGACATGTTTGGGTCAACTCCTCACATACTATTGTGCTGCCAGGGGTGAGCAAATTATACTGTATAATGTGGTCGCCATAAGAAAGTATATAGCGTGACTGGCTGTCACAAACATGCACGCTCACTATACGATTGCTTCAGGCAAAACATTGCGTTTCTGTTTCATACACGAAAGCACATCTTCTTCATCAACATTAGACACATCTATTCCCAAACACACTTACTCAAATAGGCTTTACGCACAGGCTTGTTAGTGGATTGATTGAATGAATGCAGTGCCAATACACATGCAAGCAGCATCTTCTTTATGATTCTGGTTGTGTCCATTGTCTTAAGCAGTTACCATTATACAAGTGAGCAGCTTTTGAAACTTTTCTCTCGCTTATATTTATTCATGTAGTAAACGTTCCCTGGCCCCATAAAGGAACAATATTCAGCATAAGGACTTCCCTGAGCTCGGTGTTGTTGGAGCCGGCAAACACAAAATGGGAGACGCAACATGAACCATCATGAAGACCTCTTTAGTTTATTATATTAGAAGTGCTATAAAACTACCCAAACTCATTTATCTGGTTTGGGCACAGAAATGTCAAACTACTTAGCGAGAAGAAGAAGAAGAGAAGGAGATTGCCCACACACAGAGAGGTCCCACATCCGTAACCCACAGTATACTTACAGGCATCCATCCACCCTTTCTCTGCAAATCTTAATGGCCCTTTTACCCAAATTAGGCAATAACTATGCCATCAGTGGTACAAAAGCCATATCACTACAAACATTTCATCTCCTCCCTATGCAGACAGTGTTCCCATTAGTAGAAATGAACAGCTAATCATATTCATCTGCAAGTCTTCTGTATTAGGCTCTTCTCAGATGGCTTGATAGAGGCCTTTCTCCCTTCTAATACTGCACTCAATTTGCAGCTCCCATTTAGTCAAGCTGGCCTGCCTATGCTGATACCATCTCAAGGCTATTATACATGTCACGTAGATAAAACTGGGCCCACACACATAATAAAAGAAGCACAGGGCTGGTGATTGTGAGTTTGTGTATGTGTGTCTATCTGATAATCATGTTCTATCTGCAGCCCCTGCACTCCTGCCAAGATCCAAACTCAGGTCCAGTTGCAAAGAGTGAGCGAAAAAAGATGCCACTTGAAATATTGGTTTGATTAGTTAAATGCAATTGTAACAATCCCTGAAAGCAGGTACTTTATTACATTTGTAATAAAGCTTTGTTTGGTTCTTCAAATCAGTAGTATAATAATAGACAAAGCACAGTGAAATAGAAAGAAAAGGCTATGCAAAATGATTCTGAGATCCAATCAATTTATTTTTGTATTGCCCCAAAATCATAACAGCGGTCATCAGAGTTACAGAAATGGTCTGGTGCACACTGGGGAAGTCTTGCACAGTTTTTATAATGTGGTTTTACTGCAAATGGCAAATAAATTCTTATATATTGTATCTTGTGTATTGCCAATAACAAGCGTCGTAATTGTCCATACATGTCCTGGATCATCAACTGTCCTTAGAACCTCCTGAAAAGGCAAGGAGAATTCATAAAACCAGAAACTGAGAAATCTATTGAGTAAACAGAGTATAATTGGAGCTGCACATGTCCATGTTCTCTATTGAAGCCATACAGCTTAATAAATCAGCCAAGGCCCATAGTTAACCTTAAACCCCACCGATCATCAAACGCAGGTCTGCCTGTGGTCATGGTTGTGTCAGCCCTGTTCTGTGTGGGTGGTGTAGTACAGGAGCATAGATGGAGTATTGAACGGTTTGATACGTGTGATGGATAGAGGGAGGAGTGAGAGATGACAGGGTCAGAGCATGAGACACCACTCACCTGCAGAAAGAAATGCAAATGATCAGGAGGAAAGATCTTGGACATTATCAAATGATCAACTGTAGACATTTAACTGTACCACTTCTGGTGCTTTCTTTCTGAATCAAGTCATTCATTGCTTTTCACAAAGGGCTGAACAACATAGGGAATAGTATGTAGGTATTGTTGTTAAATGCAAGTGATACATTCAACTTCTCTTTTTGTATCTTTTCATCAAGATACCCTGGATGATTTGATCTTTTTCATGAACCTTGGCTTTCAGAACTATCCTCCATTGGCAAATAGTTGTTGTATTTACATCCAAGCTAATGAAGAATTTTTTTCACTCTGGTTCTCCCCAGTCTCCAGGTTTTGTTGTAGTTTGTCTTTGCAAAGAAAGACTCTTTGTGATCACAAACACAGTCTTTCCTATAAATGTTGATCAACATAAGCTTGTCTTCTATGGATCAATTACCGTTTTCAAAACAACTATTCTGTGAAGGTTTTATTGAATTGTTTAACAACATCAGATTTCACTTCCAATATAAAAACTCTGAGGGGTATCTGAGATATTCAATATTAAGTGTGGAGCTGCAGGTCTTCATCTCAGACAAAGTCCCTTGAGATACTGTATTTTTGCAATTTTCTCTAGTTTTTTTCAGGTGCTGCTGAAACGACCGCAATCTCACAGAGTGCAAACTCTCAAGGGAACAAATAGTAGGTTCTTTTATACAGTGGTCCCTCACTGTAACATGGTGTCTCGCCTTTTCACAGATTTTTGTGTGGACTTTTGCATGTTTTTTTTTACAGTGTGTTTCATTTACACATCATATAACCACTAGTAGAACATGACAGTTACTTTTATTTAAAATCAGAAGAAAACTTTTGTGTTGTGTGTCCACTGCAGTGACTACTGCTGTCTTCCCGTAGCCCTCAGTCCTCCTCTTGCCCCTCAGCCCAATATCCTCTGGAGCTATATTTTACCGTGTATGCACAGCTTTTGACAGCTGCAGCAGCACTCAGACCTGCAACAAACAGGTATGATACCTCCGCAATCTCATTTTAGCCGTCGTGATTTCAGTTGGTTAGAAAAGTGTATAATAAGCGTGGTGAGGGGTTCCACAGTCTTTAAACTGCTTCACTTATTGCGGGTTATTGTTAGAAAATGTAACCCCGCTACAGGGACCACAGTACTGTCACTGGTTTAGGTAAATACTGGCCCGCATAATACATAACCAACATAATAAACAAAAAAGCAGTTCATAATAGGGATGATGGTTGTGTTAAGAACCATGGACAGCTCCTGATGTTTATTGTGGATGTTTCTGTTG